GAACGTTCAGCAACGAGTATAAATATCCAAAACGGCAAGACAACGAGCTCGGTTCTTGGAGCGTTACTCTGATCAAAAAGGTGGCGAATTCGAGGCTCGAGTGGTGCACCAATTAGCTCTGGGCATGACCGGCTGACGGCGACTAATGAGCCAGGAATGGCCGTTCTAGTCTTCCTTATCTTCGCCGGCAATGTTGTCTGTCTATACGATTAGTAGTATCTAGACTGAAATACTCAAAAGCTGATATACGTGGAAAGGAGATAAATAGGAAATGTGGGTAAATATTACTATTCACTAAAGAGTTAGGAGTTCAGTCACTATAGTGAAACAACATTTATTAGGGTAATAGAGATAGCCGGGCTGTCATCGTTTTCCGAATATGTGACTGGGTGGCAATGAGAAAATATTGGAAATAGAATGAGATATAGCAAAGTATTTGGAAATCTAACGCAAAACAATGAAAACAAATGTATACAATGGACAATCTAGAGTATAAAAAGTGTAGCATAATTTTACATACAAAGAGGGGAAAGCTAGTCACTATTTGATTTCCAAATGCTGTCAAAAAACCTGATGTACACAGAATTTTCGAAATTTTGCAATGCAGTTCGGTTGTGCTCAGAGGAACTTGATTTCTTGAGATACACCAAAAGGTGAACTCTCATGTACAGACAGCAAGCGTCGATTACGCACGGTGTGTACTTTGTGGCATATTGTGTGCTACTGAAATGGTTTGAGTAGATGTTAATGTGTAGGTTAACCCTGGTCCTAGGTCTCCGCAAGAGACAAAAGGCGATTTCACTTAACGATCCGTTTAAGTTTGTGTATTTTTGGCAAAATTTTCAATTGCAGTTTTGTAGAACTATCATAAAAGCATGCCGAAACTGACCTGCGAGGTAGGAAAATGAGCATCGGTGCCAATATGAGAGGAGAATTTACTGTCCCCGACTTGGAAGCCACCGTTGGTGGACACTGTGTGAAGAGCTGTCAACCTAAGTCCAGGAGGAAAAATAACTACTAAATTTTGTCCAATAGATAGAAGAGTCGAGAGACGGATCAAATTCGAAGAAAGACAATGACAAAAGAACTGCTTAGCGTGGTTAGGAAAGGGACTTCACATTAAAAGGCCATATGAAAAGGAGTGGTACGCAGGTTAAACTTGAATCAAAGATAGACGTAGTGACACCTTAGACGGGCGCAATCAATTGCTCCAAACCAAAGCATAATTTCGGGAGTAAGTCAAGTAAGTTAAAATAACGAAATAGGTAAACGTACGTAAATAAGGGAATCTCATAGGGTTACTTAAAAGATGAGAGCACATGACTTCAACAGTTTTAACAGGTTAATCGGTGTATTTGGAGTACTAAGTAGGGGAAGGGGTTAGCAGACTTGAATAGGGAGTAAATGATAGAAGCCCTTGGAAACTTCCTGTTAACTGTACGGGTCTGCATGAAAATTAGTTAATTTGCCAAATGTTTACAGGTGGAAAATACTGAAAACTAATATTGAAACATGAATGTTAAAAAAAGGTGTAACATTAGTGAAGTAGCAGCGAAGAATATACTCACCCTATCTGTACTACGGAATGATCAGCAGCATTAAATTTCATGGAAACAAAACGCTTTATTGAAATTAAGGTAATAGCGTGCTTATGGTTATTGCAGTAACTCAGAAGGTTAAGTTTTGGGGGGTTTGCTTAACCTTTAATAATTGATTATTCAAACGCTTTTTTGATAGACTCCGTGCGGGGAATTGACAACATACATCAGCAAAGAATGACACTGACGAATGACTTTCCGTGAGAAAAAAATGAGCGTTAGTTTGTGTTGCATGGTTACTTTTTAATTTGGCAACATAGTTATTTGAGATGCGTGTGCAGAGACATTTCAAACAGATTTTCTTAGTGCATATCCAGATCAAGTCAACTTGGCCCCTGAAACGTTGCTGTAAGGCCACCTCTGTCTTTTCTATGATGAAGGGGGTAAATATCCAAGGCGGTATGGCATCCCTCGTAAGTCACATTTTTGAGTTCAGGGACAAGCTTTGTAGTACGTCTTGGTACCCGTTCAAGAATACCTATCTATACGACGCCATGACCACCAAACCTGTACCGGATAGTCTAGGTGCAACCACACAAATGTTCCACGTACATTGCCAACAATATCTGCATCTGATGAGACCTAATGAGGTCGAAATAGCTATAATGCAAG